GTGTAGTTTGGACATAATCTCAGGAGGGACCAGTCCCTTGAAAATGACATCAGCTTTAGTCAATAGAAGGTAAATGTAAAAAGGGGAACACTCCAAGATATGGATTGACACAATAGCTACAATAGGCTCAAGTATTGCAATGATTGTGAGGATATCATAGGATGGGATGGTATTTCCTTCTGTTGTGCATAGGGTTGTTATTAGGTTATAATAGACTTGATGGTTCCACAAAACAAGAACAAAGGAAATTATTTTTCAGAAAAGTGTATGGAGTCATTCATTAGTCTATAGATCAATACTATGATTTTTGAACTGGCTCTTGCCAGAGATTCATTATATCTTATTTTGTCTTAGGAAAAAAAATCCTAAAAAAAAATTGCCTACTCACAATGCTAATTTCTTAGGGCCACTTGGGGTATAGCCAGGACCTTCTTTAAAGTCTTCCCTTGTTCTGAGCTCACTCAAAAATGAAAACTTTATAGATAATCTAATAAATGAAGACATACATTCAAGTGCATGTTGTGTTGCTTCCAAAGTCAGGGAAGGGAAGGGAAACATTGGAATGGCTCATTAAACCTGAGCCTTCTCTGGAAATGTCAGGTCTAATAAGAAGGTCGAATGGTGCTCTGGTGGTGCAGTATGCAGCCTCTTGTTTGCTGACTGAGAGTTCATTTTGATAACCCACCAGCCATTTTGAAGAGAAAGACACAGTAGTGTACTTCTTTAAAGATTGATAGCCTTAGAAATTCTATGAGACAGTTTTTCTCTGTTCTATAAAGCTGCTATGAACCAGAACTAATTCTCAGGCAATGAATTTGGTTTGGAATACAGTAGAAAGAGAGAAAATATAAAAAGATAATCAGAACCATATTTCTGCTAGTCTCTTATCTCTTTATTCACATTTCCAAATGATATTTTCTCCTCTTATCCCAATACAGCTCATTGTCACTTTGTGTGGAAAGAATAGGTGTGACAAGCCCTCTATAAAAGACTGTTTGTTAGGGACTTACATATTCCCAAGTTGTCCATTTGCTTTTGTTTTGTTTTGTTTTTGGTTCTATACAGATTCTAGTTATCTCCCTGCCTGAAACTCTTTCTATGCCGGTGAAACTCTTTACTGCTTGGAGAATGCTGTAACAGAAAACAGTGATACTTTGGTTGTTGAACTCGTCACTCCAAATTCCCATTCAAACACCAAAATGTTCACTAATGGAATGTAATTTTTCCCATAAGAAATAATGGAAAGCCAAATAATTGGTTCTGAGATCCAAAAAAGTACACTTATGAATTTATTTTTCCTGGACTTTAGCACAAAGTTAACACCTCTAGGTTGTGAAAATACCCTTTATAACATCTAAATACAATAAATATAGTACATTAGATATCAAAAAACAGCATGGTAAAGAAAATTAACTTTGTTTCCATTGTGTTTTGTTGTTTGAAAATCTGTGGATTTTCAGAATGGTACACTAACATGGGCTTCACTTTAAATCCCCCCCCAGAACTCCCATACAACAAACGTAGAGGGAGTCTATCTTGCATAGGCTTGTGGCTTGGAAATGCCTTTTCCCTTCAGCACTGAAAGTCTTATTAGGCATTCCCCCCACCCCTACACCCCCTACCCAGAAAGTCCAGTGTCATCATAGCTGAATATTTGCCCGAGAATGAAGCCCTCAGCCCCCAGGTATCCACTAAATTCAGCCATGAGTTTATCAGCGTCTTTTTTTATTTGTGCTCACATTTTACAGTGCCTCACCACACTGTGCTTGCCTGTTCTCTTTTTGAATTTTTCAAGCCAGTCGTGGCTGGCTGTGAAAACTTGGGACAGCTCAGGACTTGCTCCTGCAACATTTTCATTAAATCACTGTGGAAGCTGTTAGCCTTCTTGCATATCATTTTCTCTGATATTCTGTCACCATTGAGCTGTTTCTGATTTATTCAAATTAACAGCAACTTTTCAACCTCTTTGATGGTCTGGATTCTTTTTTTTTTTTTTTTCGTAGTTAATGATTTCACACCTTTCAATACATTAGTCACTTTAATCATTCCCCCACCCCTCTGCTCCCTGCCCAAATGTTGAACATGTCTACTTAGCCACGTTTTCTGCTGCCAAATCAGACAAGGATTTCTTTCTTTAACTCTATCCTGGTTCTCGCCACTTTCCTCTTAGCTTTATTGTTGGTTCCACTACCTTTCTTTGAGCCATGGTTACAATATTTTATGCAAGTAAAGGCCCTAAAAGAAAGTTAGAAGCACAATCACAAACATGTTAGTGCACTAATAATACAAGCACTGTATGTTTGCTGAGAGAGAGCAGTGCTTACACTGAAGTGTCATCCTTTTGTCTGTGGCAAGATGCCACACGTGACTCACTCTCAGCCCATAGAGGATTTTTTTCAAGTTGAATTTTCTGTTGGACTCTCATGCGAAGTTATGAACACCAAGCAGATTTTTTCCAAACTTTACGAGTAGTTTAAGCTTGGAGCTATTCGACAACCGAGGTACCACTGTACTACAGATTGGTGTCTTAGACAACAGAGGGTTACTTTCTCACAGTTCTGGAGACTAAGTCTAGCATCAGGGTGGTGGCTGTTTTGCTTCTTCTGAAGCAAAGAGGCAGAATCTGTTCTTTGCCTCTCTCTTCGCTTCTGATGGCTCCAAGAATTGCTGGGTGGCAACTACAACCTGCCATGGCATTCTCGAGCTCTCCGTTTCTGTGCATCTTTTCTCTTCATTGATAAGAACAGCAGTGGTGGCCCCCTAACTGGCTGGTGGCCACCCAATTGGTGGATGGCCTCACTTTAAGTTAACTAAGAATATCTTCACACATTCTATTTACACAGAGTCACTTCCACAGAGAGAAGAGTTAGGACATTAACTTATCTTTATAGGGAACTACCCTGCACATGTGCTTTTGAATATAGTTTCCAATGACTTGTTCTGAAATTTTTTTTTTTTCATTCTCTGGTGTGAGTTCATATGACATCCACAAAGTTAAGACTGAAACTTACCAAATAGTTTTGCTTGAAGGTCATAAATTAAGCAAGAGAAAATTCACAAACTCCAATTCTGACCCCTGTTCTTCCCTTTGGGTGATTTGACCTCAGGATGTCCTTTGGTGATTTTCTTCCCTGAGGTCCCGGTTCTCAAAGTCCTTCTCTATGTGGGTACTGTCCTTGTGGCATCTCTGGAGATGGGGAAGCTCCTCTCAGAATTATGATTAATGTCCCAAAGAGTTCAATTATGGTAGAATCACTCTTGGAGTTGCAGGAATTGAATGACTCAACTACATGTATTACAGTTCAAATGGAAATAAAGTGTCCACAGAATGTTGCCCTGAGTGTGGATAGTGTTTGTCAATAGGAGTATTTAGATGACTAGCTATTTCAGGAACTGAAATGATACACAGACTCAAAGGAGAACAAAGTATGAACATTAAATTATCATTCATCCTTCAGGCAAACCAAAGTTCAACTCTGCTGTACGAAGTCAGGCCAGTATAAGGCATTCAGAACCTGAATGTTGTAAAGGCTAGTTCTCTACTTCACGTCTAAATGACAAGCTTTAAAATATTCATCTTAGCAATTCACAATTTGTTCCTTCACACTTTTCTTTAAAACCACATACTAGTTATTTGAAGCTTATTTTCAGGACCAAGATTCTTGGTTTAAAACCAAGATTCAGACTTTGTTTGGTTACATCACAGTTTTTCTATTCTTCTTGCACCCTCTTTTACCCTCTGAGAAATCAAGATGGAACAGCCCTGGTGAAGCATGGAAAAAGTTGGCCACATGGAAATGTGTCTTGATGTGGTGATGGTGCCTCTACTATCTTATACTCTGTGTCCACAGAGATGGCATCAATACCTGAAGCTGTTACATTTTAAGACAAGAGAAAAGGTACCTCAAAGGAGAAGTTGGGTGAAAGGACTGTTTGCTTCTGCAGGTAACTCAGGAGGCATTTTTATACATAAGAGTCTTCACTAGTTTTTGTACATTGCTAAAGTACATGTGCAATGGGAAAGTCATAATGGGAAAGTCATAACTTTTAATATTCTTCTAAGTGATTCTGATCATCATTCATGTTAGAAATACTTTGTGAACAGTAAAATATGTAAGAATTGACTCTATTTTGTAATATTATATTGGATTTGTTCATGCTATACAAATCCAGAATAAGTCTCCTTTCTCTAAGATTAGTGTTCTTAGAAACGAGTTCAAGTGTAACTGTTGTAATATTTCAATATTAAATGTGGGTATTTTAGTGGGCAGACATTTGTGAATACCATTATCGCATCAATTGTAGTGTCCTTTAAGTTTTGTTTGCTAATCTTTTGATTATTAGAAATCAGTAGCCTGCATAAAACTTGAATGGTTGACTTTCAAGAATATAAGATGTTATTCAAATAAGCAAGCTATTATTTCAATCCATAGGAATGATAGGCAGTATAAGAACAGGATTATAATTGATTATTGTGAAGAAGTTTGTATATAGGATGGGGTTGTTTGCTTGAAATAGATGTGAAGTTGGGGGTTAGATTATTTAAACAATTGACACTTTATAGTATATACATGTGTGGACAGAACAATGCAAAACAGAGGAAAATAGGTGATGCTGGAAACGTAAGAAAAAATTCCATCAGCAGTGTTTTGAGTGTAATAGGGAGAACAGGATCTAGTGCACATTCAGAGTGCTCGGCCATATTTTGAAACAAGGGTAATTCATGAAAAGTTAGGAGGTCAGGTAGAATTATGAGGGTAGATATTGAAGGCAACCTCAGTAGAAACTTAGTATCTGCATGGTATTACTGAAAGTGCTAAAGACATTGCAAGACTGGTGAATATTAATTATTTTTCGATGTACATATATTTGTAGATATGTTGTTTTGTTTTCTTTTCGTTGAAACCTCCCTTCATATAATTTTCATCATTTTATGCATATTGGAAGTACAAATGTAAGCTGATTGTAGCAAGACCACATATATAATTCCATATTATCCCATGTTCATATAATCATATGCAAATATTTATAATCATAGTTTTACAATTATTCTTTTCTTGTTTAATAGTGTCTTATTGAAATCTCTCCAACAGTAGAAGTATAGGTCTAATTCATTCTCAATAGTTTTTTGTTTGTATGCTTTAAAATACATACACCCTTTCTCTTATGATGGAATCCACTTTAGACTTTTTTCCTTTTATTTTGTTATTTAGAGCCTTATAAATCACACAGTCATTGATAGGAGTATATCTTTGTCACTTATAATTAATACATTAAACACTTTTTTTGACTGGTGGATAGGAATAAAGTGAAATCTGTTTTTTATTTTGCATTTTGCTATGTACCGGTGAGTTTCAGCCTTCTCTGATATATTTGATGACCCCTTACACCAGCGGTTCTCAACCTGTGGATCACGAACCATTTGGGGGTCGAATGACCCTTTCCCAGGGGTTGCCTGATTCATAAAAGTAGCAAAATTACAGTTATGAAGTAGCAACGGAAACAATTGTATGGTTGGGGTCACCACCACACGAGGCACTGTATGAAAGGGTCGCGGCACTAGGAAGCTTGAGAACCCCTGCTCTAGACAAACATTTCCTGTAACGTTTATTTATATCCTTTGTTCACTTTCCCATTAGTTTTTTTTTCTTTGCTCACTAGCTATATAGAACTCTTCATCTAGTTTATATTTTAAATTTATGTATATCCTATAAAATGTAAATGCTTTTCCAAACTTATTTTTTCTATTGACTGTGGTCATTGTATGTTTAGCAATCCTTAAAAATTTTGCAATTGTAAAATATGTCTAGTTTTGACTTCAATTGTTATTTAACAAGATTCTTCCATTTCTACATTGTCCAAAATAATTTTTTTTACTAACTGAAAGCAAATGCAAAGTAAATCTTATTTTATTTCAACATTACATTTTAATTTCTACTTTAGTTTTATTTATATTATAATATTATTTACTTTCAGATAAAAGGTTAGCATACCAGGCTCATTTATTTAATAATCTGTCTTTTCCTCATGTATGTTTCTAATTTGTTTCCCCATTAGTTTATACATTCACTGAGGTTAGGGGCCATCTTTTAATCAGACTTGCATTTTTATAGCTTTGGATAGTGTTGGAAAATAATAAATCAAAGTTGTCATTCATTGAATGAATAAATAAATAATCTTAAGATTGTTGATAGTTACCAGTTATCATTATACTTACAGGTTTATAAGTCCTGAACTCAGACCTAAGGACACAGAAGAACGTATGGAACTAAGGAAAAATGTGACTGAGTTCATCCTCCTGGGGCTCACTCAGAGTCTTCAAGGTCAGAAAATATTATTTGTTATGTTCTTGCTCATGTACATCGTCACAATGATAGGCAACCTCCTCATTGTCGTGACTGTGCTGGTCAGTCCAACCTTGAATGCCCCGATGTACTTTTTTCTTGGTTACTTATCATTTATAGATGCTGTTTATTCTACTGCAGTTACCCCAAATATGATTAGAAACTTAATATATAAGAAGAAAACCATTTCATTTAAAGCTTGCATGACTCAGCTTTTTATAGGACACTTATTTGGTGGGGCTGAGATTTTACTTCTAGTGGTTATGGCCTATGATCGCTACGTGGCTATTTGCAAGCCCCTGCATTATATGACCACAATGAGTCAACGGGTGTGTGTTCTGCTACTGCTGTTCGCCTGGGTTGGAGGTTTTATGCATGCTATCGTTCAGCTTCTCTTTGTTTACAACCTTCCCTTCTGTGGCCCCAATGTCATAGACCACTTCCTCTGTGACATGTACCCCTTATTAAAACTTGCTTGTACTGACACCTATGTCATAGGTCTCACTGTGGTTGCCAATGATGGAGCAATATGCGTGGTCATCTTTTTGCTATTATTCGTTTCATATGGAGTTATTCTGAACTCCCTGAAAAATCTTAGTCAGGAGGGGAGGCGCAAAGCCCTGTCCACTTGTGGCTCCCACATCACTGTGGTGGTTCTTTTCTTTGTCCCTTGTATTGTCATGTATGTGAGAATTCCTTCCACCTTACCCATGGATAAATCTTTGACTGTATTTTGCACTGTTATCACCCCTTTGTTGAACCCTTTAATTTATACTCTGAGAAATGCAGAGATGAAAAGTGCAATGAAGAAGCTCTGGATTAGAAAGCGCAAGTAAGATGAGAAACAATTGCATCCCCACTTACAGTGAAGACGTTCTCCTTCCAAAAGGCTCTGTATAATTACTTAATTGTAATATAATTTTCTTCACATTAAATAATCTGTAAATGAGAAAATTTTGTGCATCCTTGTACTGGTATATTTTATTCAAAAAACATTTTATAGATTTTCACTTTTTAGCAGAATATATGTTTATTTTTTCTAGTCTAAAGTTGTCCTGTTGAAACTAAAGATTTATATTCTATGTGGTGAGTTATGCTACAGTTAATCCCAGTAATTTATTTTAGTTGATGGAACATTTTGTCATGTCTAAATAAAGCTAATGATTTTCTCAGTACTAATCGCTCTCATTACAAATTGTATTGTAATAGAATAGGAAATGACTCAATGTTCCCCACATAGAGACAGTCCATGTGAATATTCTAATTGTATTATTTTTGTATCAGTAAGGTATAATATCAGTAAGGATAATAGTTTTCTTTTCTTGTATATTAAATTAAGGCAGGAAAAGAAGGATGCCTCAGAATTGTAATACCAATCATCCAGTTGTGGTGGGATCAAGTTCAACTTAATGTGACTCCTTGTATTGCATAGCAGAATTTCTTTCCTTTGGATTTTCATGATGGTTATATTTCAGAAAGAAATATACAGGACTCTTTTTATTTCTTAGTTTACTTGAACACCCAAACTTAGCATAGATAGATGAGTGGTTAAACATATGCGCCACCCTGGAATACTTATATATTAATAAGAAGAAAGGTTAATATACAAAAAGAATCTAAATGATTAGGGTAAATAGGAAGAAAAGTAACAAAATCTTATCCACTTTCCCAGTTGGAAAATGTGATCTGCTCAGACAAAGCAGCTTTGGGGGAATTATATTTTCATAAAGATTCATGTTCAATTAACAGGTTAAAGTATCTGTTAAGACCTTAGTTAGTTTTAAATACAGCCATCTCTTTCTTTCTAAAATATGTCTCATGTCTTTCTAATGGGACCCAGTTCTTGCCTCTCATAATTAAAATTTGGAAAAAACAATAATTAATGAATTCAAATATATATGGCTGAACTTGACACTGCATTATATTGCATGATTTCATTGTCAATAATGATGCTGATATGTTATTCTGTTTCTAATATCACATCTCTTCCTCTGGGAATACAGTGTTTTATATCATGAAGGAATTAGAATATATTTTTCTATTTAACAAATTCTCATTCTTAAATTGTGCTGAACATTTCTATTTCAACTGGGCTTAAAATAAATATTACTTTCCTCTAATATTTCAGGAAATATATGCATTCAAATACATTCATGATTTCGGATTCCTCTATTAGCCTGTTTTTATGGGGTGGAAAAGGGGATGGGAGTATGTAGGCTATTTACACTAGTAAAGCAGGTATTGTATAAGGGCAAGTAAAAAATATTTCTACTAGGCTTACAGTTCACAAACACATTTCCCCCAAAACAAACCATGTTTAAACACGGCTTGGCAATAAGCAGATGAGGCAGACACATTTCCTCAATAATGCACTTGTCTTGGTCTCATTCACTGCCACTGAGCTGATTTCTACTCATATTGACCCTATTGGACAAAGTAGAGCTGCCCCTGAGGGCTTCTAAGGTTGTAAACATATATGGGAGAAGGAAGCCCCATCTTTTTCCTTAAAAGCAGCTGGTGGATTAGTACTTCTGACTTTGTGGTTAGTACTTCTGACTAGTGTAAACCACTAGTCCACCAGGATCCCTACATTAATCTAATTAAACTCAAATCAAACTCATTATGCTCAAGTTTATTATGACTCAAATTGACAATAAAGGACAAAGTATAACTGCCCCTATGGTTTTCCAAAATGGCAAACCTTATGGGGTAGAAAGTTTCATGTTTCCCCTGGTGGTTTTCAGATGTTTGACCGTGTGGTTGGTAGCCCAACATGTCCTCTACCCACTATGCCACCAGTGCTCCCTACTTAGGCCTTCTTAAAGATAAAAATAAAAGCATATTTTTTCTGCTTTTGATTTTGTGGTCAGAGATAATATCACATTTTTAACAAAACTGAAGTGGACATCTTCCAAATCATGGAAGCTCTGCAATAATTTTACAGAAATGCTACCCCATAGAAGATGATAGATTTTAGATTGATAAAGCATATTAAGGAAGGTCTGGAAGGCATACAAGATGAGCCAAGAGAAGGAAAACAGTCAACTTTGAAGAAAGAAGAAACTGGCTGAAGTCTATAAATGGGTGGAAGAAGACCTTGTTATAACCATTGATGATATAGCTATTGAAGTTGGATCATGTAATATTCTTTGCCAGCACCATATTTCTAATGCACTGATTCTTTTCTTGGCCTTTCTTATTCAGTGTCCAACTTTGACTTGTATATGTGGTGAACGGAAAGGTCATGTTTGAGTCAGGGACATTCTATTAATCTGGGTGGACTAGAGAAACAAATCCAGAGACACTAATATGTATGTAAGAGAGAGTTTTATATCCAAGATTAATTGAATATTAAGAAAACACCCTGGCCCAGTCCAGATGGAGTCTCTAAGTTTGATATTAGCCAATATACCTGATACTAGTCCATATATTCTTCTACAGACTCACGTAGCCCATGCAATAATGATGAAAGCAGGAAGATCACAGGCCATTGGTTGAGAAATCTCTGGACACATCTCAGCACTGGCACAGTGATTTCTATGGCTCCTCAAGCTCCTGGGCTCTAGCTGCCATCTGCATAGCTTCATGTGGCTTGTCAACTGAATGTGTAACAGAAAGAGTGTGTGTCCCACCTCCAGGGAGGAAGAAGGAGTTCCCAGAATCCTCATGAGAAGATCATGCCCATACAGAGGCATCACTGACTATGACCTGATTGATAGCCTAGACTCCACCCCTTTGCTCAAGTTGGCAGGAGTCTATGTAACTGCCAGAGCCACATTATTCCTCAAAGTGGCGTTCTAGTTCTTTAGCATTTGGAATAGGTCTTGTGAGGGTGATTTGTCCAACTCTATGTGTCATTTGATTTCTTGACCGCTGCTTCCATGAGCACTTATTTTGGATTCAAGCAAGATGAAATCATTAACCACTTTAATATTTTCTCTGTGCATCACACTGCTATCTTTGTGTCAATGTGTGCCTTTTGTTTTTCTTTACATTGAGTTGCAATCCATACTGAAGACTGCAGTCCTTGATCTTCATTTACAAGTGCTTCAAGTCCTCCTCATTTTCAGAAAGCAATGCTGTATCATCTATATTTGCAGGTTCTTAATAATCATTTCTCCAATCCTGATTCTGAGTTTTTCTTCATATAGTGCAGCTTCTTGTACTATATGCTTAGCATACAGATTGAATTATTATGGTTAAAGGATACAACCCTGAGTCATACGTTTTTATTTGAAAACCCATAGAACAACCAAACTCAAACATAATGATAAAGAGGTTGGTACACAGCCTCTTGGTGTTTTGCTCTGTACTGTGGTACAAAGGGTTGTTATGAATCTGAAGAAAGTCCATTGCACCTAGCCGTCACAATCCATACTATGAACTGAATGTCATCAGTAAGTGGCTCAAGTCCATTCACTTTTAGCAAGGATTGTTGTGTAATCTTCTTAGCACAGGTTACTAGTGAATCTTCCTCCAATCTCCATGCCACCTTCTGTTCTTACAGTCTTTATTCTCATAGTGTTTGATCATATTTGATCACTATAAATCAAATAAATATAGTGAAAGCACATATCCACGAGTCATATTTTAAAAAGTTTAAACTATACTGAACAAATGGCAAATTCAAAGGGAATGGCATTATATTCATCATCCAAAATAATATTTCAAGATCCATTTTAAATGACAATTTAAATCCATTTTAAATTTCTAATTTTTAATTAGAAATTATTTTGACGGAGGAGCGTCAAGATGGTAACAGAGTAGCACACACCCGAGGGACTCCACAGAAATCAATGCAGGAGAGCCACTGAGAGGGATACTCTACTCTCTCAGGTCAAGGAGGAGTATCATAAAGATAAGTAGATTAAGATCTACTAGGTTTTAAAGAGCTGTTGCCTTACCATTAACCGATTGGTTTTTAGCTTTAGTCTTGACACAGTCATAGCTGGGGCTGCCCCAAATGCTTTACTTCAATATCGCCACAGCTGCCACCACCTTGGGGCTGTGTATAAAACCCTCCACCACAACTCCCCGGTTGGCTGGCTGAAGCTCTTTTATTTTGTTTATTTTTCTCTTCTCTCTTTCCTGCCACAGTTGTGGCTGGCTCATTTTTTGGGTTTGTTTGTCTTTCCTAACACCCCAGCCAGCTTCTTGGGAGTTCCCCCATGTCTAGGGCAACACCGCCCACCTGCCCACCCTCCACAGTGCTCCACATGGCTGGGAAACCTCAGCCTACCATCTGCAGCACTCCAGGATCCTGGGGGAATTTCCACTCACCCTCCGTGGTGCTCCCTGCCACCTAGGGGAACATATAGGTCACTCCATGTGGCTGAGGAAATGTTCACCTGCAATCTGAAACACTTGGAGAAATGAAGCCCACCCTTCTTGGTGTCCCACCCTACTGCAGGAACATCTGCCTGCCTGTGCAGCAATCCACCCTGCTGTGGGAAGCCCCACCAACCTTCCAGGGTGCTCCTTGCAACCTTGGGCAATGCTGCACACCCTCTGTGATGTTCCAGACCACAGTGGGCACCCCCACATGTCCTCTGAAGAACTCCATGCTACCATAGGTCATGCTGCCATGGCCTCCTGTGTGATCGACTGTAATGGTACCACCCTTGCAGCCTGCCACCATCTGACCAACATCCTCTGAGAAGGCCATTCAACTTGCCCTCTAAATAATAGAATCCCAGTTGGCTAGAGAGAGAGTGAAACCCCAGAAGGATAAAGTAGTAGTGCGACTCTGCTGCACAGTTGGCTACAGGCAGTCCAAAGAAGCATTCTTACAAGACTACCAAAGAGACAGCCAATTGTTCTTTGACTCTTTGGAAAA